TTTTTTTTTTTTTTTTTTTTTTTTAATATTTTTGATCCATGGTTACTTGAATTCATGGATGTGGAGGGCCGACCGTACAGGTCAGTGATAGGATGAGATCTAAAGCCAAGTTGCAGAATGCTGAGAAGTGAGGGGGATATGAGAAAAGTAAGCACAGACCTCTTGAGACCTGGTCATTAACAGAGGAGTTAGTGGGTAATAGCTAAGCGTAGAGAAAAAAGACCAAGGGAATGTTGGTTTATTTTAGGTGGTGAGCATGCGTCTTGTTGATGAGAAGGAAAGGTGAAATATGCAAAGGAAGTATGGATAGGACAAAATCCTGGAAAATATGAGAGAAGGGATTGTCTTCAGAACAGGAGTGGAAGGATCAGCATTCCACAGGGAGGATATCTTTCCCTTTGTATCAGGAGAAAAGGATGAACAGATGAGCATTTTATGCAGATATTTGCAAATTAGTGGCAGGCAAATGAGACAGGTGTTTTGGAGTAGCCTTGATTTTATTTATAAAGTAGGATAGTAGGGCTGAACTTCATGGAAAAAGAAGGTTTGAAGTAGCTTTTGGGATATGGAAAAAGAACAGATGAGAGAAGCAGAAAAATTTCTGGGAATCCTTCAAGGATGAGAAGAGAACATAGATTATGAAAGAATAGAGTCAACGATCAGTGTAGTCGTAGAATAGAATAGAATAGAATAGAATAGAACAGAACAGAACAGAACAGAACAGAACAGAACAGAACAGAACAGAACAGAACAGAAAGAATAGAATAGTTGGACAGTTAGGATTTGCTAGGCAGAGGAATGGAGGAAGTCATGGCCTAGGGAGTTAACAATGTAAGGAGTAAGAGAGGTTTTAACTAATGAGCCATTAGAGTCTAAGCAGGATAACAGAGACAGTAGAGAAGAAGGTAAAACAGGAAGAAAAATGAAAAAAGAAAGTAGGAAAGTCAAGAGGAAAAAAAATTCCATTTTATGATAAACTTCAATAAAAGAAAAAAGTCTAGACAGAAAGCTGCCAGTGAGGTCGAAAACGATTGTAATGGCCGGGCGCGGTGGCTCAAGCCTGTAATCCCAGCACTTTGGGAGGCCGAGGCGGGTGGATCACGAGGTCAAGAGATCGAGACCATCCTGGTCAACA